AGTTTCTTAAGAGGCTGTAATACTTCTGAACCTTCCTTTTTATTTCTTTATTTTTTTAAATTTATTTGGCTGCACAGGATTTTACTTGCTACATGCAGGATGCCTTAATTGTGGCATGTGGGTTGTAGTTCCCTGATCAGGGATTAAACCTGGGTCCCCTGGATTGGGAGCACAGAGTCTTAACCACTGGACCACCAGGGAAGTCCCAAACCTTCCTTTTTAAAACTTCATTACAGAAAAATCTCAAACGTATCAAAAGCAGAGAGAATAAGTCTAACGAAGTCAATGTACTCACTGCCTACTTTAAACTGTTAACAGCATGGTGAGTTTTGTCTCATTAATATTCTTACTCAGTTCCTGCCCCTCACTGTCACAAAATTAGATTAAAGCCAGTGTTAGATATCCTATCATTCCCGCCTTAAATAATTCGGTACCCATGTCTAAAACATAAGGGATATTTTAAAATACAACCATAATATTAGTTTCAGACCAAAAGGAAAATGAAATTCCTTAGTATCATCAAATATCCAATTCAGTCAAGAAGTGTACCTAAGACAAAAGGAAGTCAAATGTCAAGGAAAACATTATCCCCAAAGTTACAACACTCACAAATGAGCTATTCCCCTGCAATAAAAAGCAAACAGCATTCTCTTAAAGCACAGAGTTGGAAGTCAAGGGTTTCAAAGAGAATGGTGTGCAGGAATGTGTGCAGAATGTGCAGGAATGGTGTGCGAAATTTGTAACACGTACATATGAGCAATTTTTTTTTCATGCTTGATAGCATTCATAGAATGTAAAGCAGCTCGAGACTGAAAACGTTTAAAGACCTTCTGCCCTTGGTTACGACTGTGTGTGCTTACTGCGACATCCCCTCACATTGCCAGGAAGGATTAGTCAAGTAGGGAAATAAATCTACCTAAAATAACTTAGAGATCAAGCTGAATTCAACTCAGTATGCACTGAGCACATACGAGGTGCAAGACACTGGGTCACGGTCTTGAGAAGCAAAGGTAAGCTAATCCCAGTTAATTTATAGTATAGAAGGAGAACGGATCAAACAGATTAACAAACACTGAACTAGAAAGCCATGAAAAAGGTGCTGGCTTTAGGTTATTTTCATGGAGCTCCAGATGAAGAAGCAAAGATGTTAATTTACGGGTGCAGGGAGGGATCAGGGCTCATAAGGAGATAGGAGAAAATCAGAGGATGTCAGCAGTTGTACCAGCAACTCATGACTAAAGACTGTCCTTATCGCCCTTGCTGATGGACAGGAATAAACATGTTTACTAGGGCCTGTATGCCCCTCCTGGATAGGGTAGAAGAAAGTTTCTTGAAAGTTGACACTTGATCAGATCTGGGAAGGAGAGAAACAGTAAAGAGGAAAGGGAAGTCATTCCAAGAAGAGAGAAAAGCAGGAACAAAGGGGTAGAAGTTACTGGCATGTTAGGGAATCAGCAGTGAGGTGACCTTAGAGCAGAGTGTGTGGGAAGGGCTGGCTAACTGGAAATGCTGGCTGGGACCAGAGTCAGAGCCTCCCAGACCAGACTTGGGCCTCTATTCTGCAGCTGGTAGAGAGGAACTGGAAGTGAAAACCTCCAGCCCAGACCAGACCAGAGCCTCTCCTCTGCGGCCAGTGGAGACAAGGACAGGTTTTTAAGTGAATCAGTTCTGTCTTTACAAAGTATGTCTCATCCTTCAGTAGATGATGGGTGCTCACTATCGGCTGAGAGGTCCAGCGTATTAGGAGTAGGCAAAGGGCTGACAGGGACACATGTAAGAATTTCAGAAATCATTTTTCTTTTCAAAGAAGAGGAAAGAAAAACAACATATAAATTCCATTACACAGTGTGCAACAGTGTGTTAGCACACTTCTCATTTGTTTTAAAAAAAGTGGAAATACACCTGCAAGTTATAAACACATAGAGTTTCTCAGTAAAAGTATGAGAAAAATAGACACTATGGGTTGTAGGACATGGAGAAAAACTGGGAAGAGGCTGGAGAGTTTTTTGTACCTTTGTCACATTGAACCACATGAACATGTTACCTATTAGCTAAAGAATACATACTTTCCCTCATACTTCCAGCCATGTAGATAGAGAATAACGCAAAGAGAAAAGGTTTTGAAGACAGATCTAGGTTCCAGTTTGGGCTGTGATACTTCCTAACTGTAGGGCTGTGGGCAAATTAACTTCTTTTTGTTTCTGTCCTCTTATTTTCAGAAACAGGGGTAATATTGGCTAATTTTTGGGTCATTACAACAATGATTAAACTAATCCTATACAAAGCTTCTGGTGGACTATCTGGTGCCGACTAAGTACCCAGTAAGCAGTAGCTATTTTATTACCAACAAAACTTCTTTGATGTGAACACATTCTTCATACAAAAAAGTTCTTTGAACAAGTCTAAGGTATGCTCATTAGCCGATCCTATTCCTACATTAAATATTAACACTGTACAAAACAATGAATGTAACCCATATGATAAACACTACCCATTACATTATCTAGAAATTTAAAATTAACATGTTATTTACATGCATTTCAAGGCAGATGTTAGCTGCTTTATTTCTAGCTGCCTAGATTTACTGAATGAATGTAGTCACAGAGGACTAAATACCAACAAGGCACCAGGAAAAGAGAAAATAAGTTGCTATCCTTCAGAAACTGACAACCTCAGTGAGACAACAGGTGTGACCTTCAAGTAACCATGGCCCCAATTTGGCAGAAGAGATGGAAATTCTGGCAATGAAGCACCCAATTCTGTAATATCCCTTATAGGATGTTAAGTCACATGGTAAGGAAAGGTTACTCTGTAAGCATTTTCTTAGCTTTGTGGGTTGCTCCTTCATGAGACTGTGTTTTCAATCAGCTGTAACTGTGGCAATAGCAGCATTCTAAGTGTTACAAAAGATGGGTCACTCAAAAGCCTTACTACTTGTTTGAACAGTCACATCATTATTAAAGCATCCCTGAACAAAAGTTTCTTTGTTATACATTGAGTTGAATAATTTCAGACCATTTTCATGTGAGATGTTCTGGCTCAGATTTGCCCCAGCCTGCAGAGATGAAGCCTTAGACAAGAAAACATCTGGGATTCAGGGGGGGGGGGGGTGGATTTTTTTTTGTTAAAGGCAGGAAATAAGGGTGAACATCTTCCAGGATTTCAGAAGTGTAGTGAATGATTCCAAGAAATGAAGGTGTAAGGCCAGAGGAAAAGACATTTCACTTCATACATGGCACAAGAGGGGAGAAAGAGTGGTGGGGAGGGATGCTTAACAAAAAAAATCGACATAATCATTCAAATATTTCTCTTGGAAGCAAAAGGTTCTTGGGAGAAACATCAATACTAGACTGTAGAGAAACAGTAAACACTAATTTCTAAAGAAGCTTTCACCAGTGCTGTAAATATGTTATGGATAAGCAGCCGGGAGGAATGACTGACTTTATATTAGCAAGCAAGTCTTGTGGCTGAGCCACAGGAGGGTGCACACTTGTATTTATCCCCTAGCTTCCCATAGTGAAAGCTTGAGGTTACATATTACAGTTGAATGAAGGTTGCATTAAGAGGCTAATCTAATGCTATATATAGACAGCAACACCAATTTAATCTCCGCCCCTTCCCCCTCCCCTCTCTATTTCCATAAATCTCAAGATCTGAGTTACAAAGAGACTGGGAACTCTAGCTGAGTGAAGAGCCTCTTCTTCTCCCCTCCCCCTTGACTGTCTCTCCTAAATCAAGTATTAGTGCACGTGTAAATTGCTTCCAAACACCCTTTACAGGCACACAGGGCGATCAGATCCAGTTTTCTTCTACAGCTTCCACAGGGGCCGGAGGAGATGACAAGTGGGGGCGAGGGGCATGTTGCCAGAAGAGACTTATTGTCACATGCTTTCACCTCGCTTGTAATGGGGAGCTCTCCTTCCCTCCCCACTCGTAGTTCAGAGCCTAAACCTTGGCTTACCCCGGAGTTGCATCTGGCGGTGCCACGCACGAGACGCTGTGCACCCGCCACTTCCCACCGCGTGGCCGGCCCCTGCCCGCTCTTGGTCTCTCGGGGCGGCCAAACGTGGCGAGTGGTGGGTCTTTACTCTAGGGCACCGATACGCTGTAAAAGCGATGGTAATAGGGTGGAGGGGAGGCTTCCCCACCGAGAGGCAGGAAGCCGCCCGAGCAGGCACATGCTTCCTCCCAGCCAGTTTCGGCCGGAGGGGAAGCTCCCAGTCGGGCTTTGGCTCCGGTGGTCTAAGGCTTGCCGGCTCCCCCCTACCCTACCTGGCTTGCTTCTCACCTGTCCGAGGAGGTAGCGGCGACGCGCGAGGCTGGGGGCTGCGGCGATCCCGGCAGCGGCGGTTGCAGAAGCGGCAGCGGTGGTGGCAGACAATGGAGGAGTGAAGGACAGACACATTGACATCGACACACGGAGCTCGGCGCAGCCCCGCCTCCCACGCCGCCCCGCCTCCCAGCCCGCCCCCGGCCCGGGCGGCTCCACTTCCAGGGAAATAAAGGGGGGGTGTATAGCGAGAACCAGGGAGATGCACGCCCCAAGAAGAAACTTTCCAACACAGAAGTTCCAGATAGAGAATTGAATTATTGTGTGTTCTTATCTATCTGAACTGGAAAGAGTGGCTTGGGGGAAATCTGTGAGAAGCATTTAATGACTCCCCCAGTGATTTTCTCCATTTGGTTCTTCCTCCCCAGGCTCTTCCAATGGGACGGCCTCGCTGCTGCCTCCTGCAGCTCCTCCTCCCTGCCGGGCCAATGAGGCGCGGGGGGCGGGGACTACCGCTGGACCTGCGGAGACCGCCCGCCCGGCTCGCCCGAGCTCGCCCGCTGCTCGCCAGCGCCTGGAAGGAGGCGAGAATTCGAACGCTTCCGCGGTTGGCTACTTAGAGTCCGAGTCGCAAGTTGCCTCACATTGCGGCTGGCTTTCGTAATACAGACGCGTCGTTTCTTTTTAGTACTCCCGAAGACACAGAATAGCCGTCAAGCTGGCGGAAGCAATGGTTCACATAAAGAAAGGCGAGCTAACCCAGGAGGAAAAGGAGCTGCTGGAAGTCATCGGAAAAGGTGTGGGTGCAGGGCTGCGACCGGGGCTCTGCCTGCCTGGCCGGGGAGGGGAGAGAGGGGCGTGGCGGAGCCCGGGCGGCGCCCCAGGCCCGGCTGACCCCGGGTTGCGGTTTTACGAGGTTGACACCCTACCACCGGGAAACAGCGCTCCTCCCTTCGGTCTGGGACGAGTTGCGGGGGCGGAGAGGTGGGGAGGGAGAAGCGCAGCTGGACGACAGCGGAGGTTGCAGACATTCGTCCTCTGAATCAGCTTTTGGAAGGCGGCACCTTTCCGGGTTCCACATCGGATGATAAAGAGCCCCCCGGGGGTGGGGCCTCAGAATGTGCATTCTTAAAAGCTCCTCAGGTGAATTGACCACGGTCCGCCTGGGCGATAGTGGCCGGAAAGTTTCAGGCTCTTAGACCGGTGTCTACAGGGCCATTTCGGCTTCCGGAGGCCGAATGATCTGGATCCCTTGGCTGTCTCCGCCCCCTTTTGGAGGAGGGCGGGGTGGAGAGAGCTCCTAAGGAGCAGGGTTCTTTATAAGGGCACAAAATGACATCTGTAACTTGCGCTTTGAGGCTTCTGCCTGCAAGGCCTTCCTGGCATCCTTCCAGAAGCCCCCGACCGCCGCAAAACTCGCGCGAAAGCGAAGGGGTTGAGGAGGCGTCCACACCGCTTGGCGCGCTTGGCAGGGCTGCGATCTTGTTTGTGATCGCGCTCTGCGCTCATTCTCTTCCATTCTCTCAATGCGAGTCCCACTTCCACCGCTCCTGGTGCTAGGGAGGGAGACGCAGGGCCCGGGGACGAGCCAGAAGCCATGTGTCCCCTCGGTCCCCCAGCGGATATCCCAGAAGAGTTTAATGCTAAGTCCCGTTAGCTGGCAGTTGACAACAGCATGAATACGTGGCTTATGCACTGTCACCAAGCGGGGATGGGGGATGCGTGGGAACCGCGGGCGTTGTTCACGTGGCTCTTTTAAGCTCAAGAATCAGCTTGCCCTCGGTCGGGATCGGCAGAGAGGCTGGTCATAATAACATAAAAAGCTTCCCAATTTCCAGTCTTTCTTTCTAAGTAACATGGCTCAGATCTGGACTTACAGAGAGAGAGAAAGGCAAACTTTATCCTGACAAGGAAAGCCTACGTGGAAAAGAGAAAAATCGGGTTGGAACTCAACAGGTGCTGATGAGCTGAGCTCACCCGATGTGACCTCAACAATTTTCAGTCAGTCACAGCTGTATGTTTGTCATGAAAAGTGTTCTTTGCCCAGAATTTGTGGGACTTAGAGTTAGATCAGTGTGTTTGTTCAGCATGGTTCTCGCTGACCTATTTGGCATGCAGTCTTTCTGTTCTGCTTGTCTCTGTTTAATTTCTCCGTGCCTTTGGTGGCTCTGGGATTCGGCTCACCAACCATGTGAGTCTCAGCTCTGTGCCAAGTACAGTGCTGGGCAAAAAAGGAGACAAAGGATCAACTTACCATCCACCAGGGATGCAAATGCTGTTTTTAAGCAGTCCAGGGCTATCACCTTCTCTCAAAAGTGTAAACAAGAGAGCAGTTTTGTAAAGTGGGTCTCTGAAAGGCATAGATGGGGTGTGTGTGTTGGAGGGAGGGCAGGGAAGGGGAAAGCTTGGATACATTATTGGGTGTCCACTAGTTTTTATTTGTAAAGATTAAATGAAACAGTTGATGTGAATTTAGCCTGGTTAACACTGTGACTTTTTTTTTTTTACTGGGCTCACATTGTTCAACAAATTACATAGACCCTCTTTCAGCTATTTATTTGGTGCAAGCTGATGAGAAAAGAAGTGAGATGGACTTCGTAAGTGATACATTCTTTTTTTTTTTTCTTTTTAGTTGGAGGCTAATTACTTTACAATATTGCAGTGGTTTTTGTCATACATTGACATGAATCAGCCATGGATTTACATGTGTTCCCCATCCCAACCCCCCCTCCCACCTCCGTCCCCATCCCATCCCTCTGGGTCTTCCCATTGCACCATCCCTGAGCACTTGTCTCATGCATCCAACCTGGGCTGGTGATCTGTTTCACACTTGATAATATACATGTTTCAGTGCTGTTCTCTCAGATCATCCCACCCTCGCCTTCTCCCACAGAGTCCAAAAGTCTGTTTTATACATTTGTGTCTCTTTTTCTGTCCTGCATATAGGGTTATCATTACCATCTTTTTAAATTCCATATATATGCATTAGTGTACTGTATTGGTGTTTATCTTTCTGGCTTACTTCACTCTGTATAATGGGCTCTAGTTTCATCCATCTCATTAGAACTGTGATACATTCTTGTCAAGTGAAGGTCGGTGGGACATCACCATACTCTTAAAAAAGAGTAATGAGAAAACTGTAGCCAACCTTTACTGACTATCGTGGGTCTGGCATAATTCTTCGCACTTCACATGTAACCGTGCATTTTATCTTCGGAAACTAGGAATACGGACTTCTCTGTAGCTCAAACGGTAAAGAATCTGCCTGCAATTCAGGAGACCAGGGTTCAATCCCTGGGTTGGGAAGTTCCTTTGGAGAAGGGGATGGCAATCTACTCCAGTATTCTTGCCTGGAAAATTCCATGAACAGAGCATCCTGGTAGGCTACAGTCCGTGGGGTCCCAAAGAGTTGGACACAACTGAGCAACTAACACACACACATAACACTGCACAATATTTTAAATGAGTTAGTGTATATTCAGTATTTAAGATACTGTGTTGGCTCTGATTATGGTAAATATGGCAGTCTCTGTTGATAGATAACAAGCCAAGTAATTGAAAAGTTAAACAGCTTGCCCAGTGTAACCCAGGTAGTAAGTGGCAGAGCAGAAATACCATCTGGTCCACAGTTGTAGAAGCATGCTGGACTTGAAAACAAACTAGACAAAAAAATGAGAAAATGAATCAGCACCATAGCAGTCCATACCATATCTTACTCACTTTGAAAGGTAATTGCATTAAAATATTATCCTCTGTCAAGTTAAATTAATTATAATTGTAAGTGATTTTGTGGTTTTGTGTGTAAGTGGCTCAGGAGTGAAGAATCTGCCTGCCAAGCAGAAGACAGTGGGTTTAATACCTGGGTTGGGGATATCCCTGGGGAAGGAAGAAGCAACCCACTCCAGCGTTCTTGCCTGGGAAATCCCATGGACTGAGGAGCCTGGCGGGCTACAGTCCATGGGGTCCCAAAGAGTTGGACATGACTTAGCAACTAAACAACAATTTGTAAAATAGTTGTTGGTTTATAGCCGAACAAAGGTCATAAACAGAGTTTATATTTGTACTCATAAGAAGCATTTTTTTTTTTTTAAGAAAGGAGTACATTTCTGATATTTTCCCCCCTTTTGGTACATTTCTCGACTTTGAGAAGCACTGGATTAGTCAGTACTACTCTGTGAAATTAATAAGTTTGTAGCCAAGTGTGACCTGTCACCTTGGCCAATCTGAAATAAGCTCAGCAAAATTTTGAATGTCTCCATCCTGCTCATCACTGCCTTCCAAAAGTTAAGCAGATTGCAAGGGGGACTTAGAGCCCAGAGAATACCACATATGGCAGTGGACACTTTAAGAACAATTTCTTCTTTTGACTGAATTCATATGCTAGCTACTCTACAGGTTGTTTATTTGTTGGAATGCCAAGAAGAAGTTCCAGATGAAACTGAGAAGCTGTTTCTCAGATATCCATTTAAATCATAGTCACTGACAGCATCCATTTCACAGCATTTCAGAAGAGAAATGAAATCACTGAAGCACAGTTAAGTGGCTTATATTACTTGTAGATTGAGCCATTCTTCCAAGTTCTGATATCTTTTTCACTAAACACTGAGGAAGCACTGTTTCAAAATAAATGAAACCTCCTTTAAAAATATAAACCAGAAGGTCTTTCATTACTTATCTTGTTTAGTACTTGAAATCCCTGGAGTCAGTGTTGCTGATTTCACAAGAAAGTAATGAACTTTCTTTTCTTTTTCTCTTTTTCCATTATTTGTGTTAAAGGAGCTATGAAACAGGCTTGAACAATAAGGTTTATTCTACCAGTCTTACTGGAGTATAATTTAAGTATGATAAACAATGCATATTTTAAATACACATTTTTTAAAAGAGAGTTTTGACATAAGTACACATCCACGAAACCTTCATTGCAATCCACACAGTGACCAGTTGCATTACCCAAAAGATTCTACATACCTTTTGTAATCTGCCACTCCTTCCAATCCTGTCTCCAGGCAAACAGCAATAGGTATCTGTCACTATTGGTTAGATATAGTTATTCTAGAATTTTATAAAAGTGGAATTATAAAATAAACACAGTAAATATTCCTTTTTTTTTTTTGCATGACTTCTTTCACTCAGCATCATGATTTTGAGATTCATCTATACTGTACCAACAGCTTTGTTTTCTATTTTCTTCGTTTATTCCCCGTGTATGGATGTATCATTGTGTGCTTACCTGGTCACACTTAGCGACATTTCAGTTGTTTCCAATTTGGAAACAAAAGATCCTGCTCTAAGGTCCTGTGGAGTTAATACGGTTATTTCTAGTGCCCCTGGTACATAGAAAGATTCAGTTCAGTTCAGTCTCTCAGTCATGTTTGACTCTTTGCGACCTCATGGACTGCAGCACGCCAGGCTTCCCTGTCCCTCACCAACTCCCAGAGCTTACTCAAACTCAAGTCCATCGAGTTGGTGATGCCATCCAACTATCTCTGTTGTCCCTTTCTCCTCCTGCCTTCAGTCTTTCCCTGCATCAGGGTCTTTTCCAGTGAGTTAGTTCTTCACGTCAGGTGGCCGAAGTATTGGAGTTTCAGCTTTAGCATCAGTCCTTCCAATGAACACCCAGAACTGATCTCCTTTAGGATGGACTGGTTGGATCTCCTTGCAATCCAAGGGACTCTCAAGAGTCTTCTCCAACAACACAGTTCAAAAGCATCAATTTTTCGGCACTCAGCTTTCTTTATACTCCAGCTTTCACATCCATACATGACTACTGGAAAAACCATAGCCTTGACTAGACAGACCTTTGTTGGCAAAGTAATGTCTCTGCTTTTTAGTATGCTGTGTAGGTTGGTCATAGCTTTTCTTTTAAGGAGCAAGCATTTTTTAATTTCATGGCAGCAGTTACCATCTGTGGTGATTTTGGAGCCCCCCAAAATAAAGTCTTTCATCATTTCCATTGTTTCCCCATCTATTTGCCATGAAGTGATGGGACCAGATGCCACAATCTTAGTTTTCTGAATGCTAAGTTTTAAGCCAACTTTTTCACTCTCCTCTTTCACATTCATCAAGAGGCTCTTTAGTTCTTCTTCGCTTTCTGCCATAAGGGTGGTGTCACCTGCGTACCTAAGGTTATTGATATTTCTCCTGGCAGTCTTGACTCCAGCTTGTGCTTCCTTCAGCCCAGCATTTCTCATGATGTACTCTGCTGCTGCTGCTGCTGCTGCTGCTGCTGCGTCGCTTCAGTCGGGTCCGACTCTGTGCGACAACATAGACGGCAGCCCACCAGGCTCCCCCTTCCCTGGGATTCTCCAGGCAAGAACACTGGAGTGGGTTGCCATTTCCTTCTCCAAAGCATCAAAGTGAAAAGTGAAAGTGAAGTCGCTCAGTCGTGTCCGACTCTTCGCGACCCCATGGACCGCAGCCCACCAGGCTCCTCCGTTCATGGGATTTTCCAGGCAAGAGGACTGGAGTGGAGTGCCATTGCCTTCTCCCTGATGTATTCTGCATATAAGTTAAATAAGCAGGGTGACAATATACAGCCTTGACGTACTCCTTTTCCTATTTGGAACCAGTCTGTTGCTCCATGTCCAGTTCTAACTGTTGCTTCCTGACCTGCATACAGATTTCTCAAGAGGCAGGTCAGGTGGTGTGTATTCCCATCTCTTTAAGAATTTTCCATGGTTTGTTGCGATCTACACAGTCAAAGGCTTTGGCGTAGTCAATAAAGCAGAAGTAGATGTTTTTCTGGAACTCTCTTGCTTTTTCGAAGATCCAGCGGATGTTGGCAATTTGAAATCAATTCAGGTCTCCTAATAATTATAGCATAGAGTTCAAAAACAAATTTAAATTCAAATATATAGAAACCATTAACTATATGACTGGGCAGGTTTTACAACCTCTATGGGCTTCACTGTGTTCATTTACAAAACAGCTCTTTTAGATACTATTTTTTTTATGCAGTGATTCATAATCCTAACTTAAGGACATTTGGTTACAAAGTCTAAAAATAGATATAAGTAGGAGAATTTAGAAACTTCACACTTAAACAGATGCAGTATTTCAAAATGCATGTTGTAATTAAAAGTCTATTTAAAAATACATTTATAACTATGTATCTATGATTAAATCTGTATCCATGTATTATTTTTAAATCTAGACACTTTATTTCATGCATGATTTTACTTACACATAAATGTTATAGCAACTAACAAGCGAAATAGTTTTTTTAAATGCTTAACTTTGATATAGATACCTCACAAAAAGACATTCCTTTTGGAAAGTGAAGTGAAAGTCATTCAGTCATGTCTGACTCTTCCAGGCCAGAATACTGGAGTGGGTAGCCTTTCCCTTCTCCAGGGTATCTTCCCAATGCAGGGATCTAACACAGGTCTCCCACATTTCAGGTGGATTCTTTACCAGCTGAGCCACCCAGGGAAGCCTGAAACTCACACGTACCCAGATCTCATGACTGTCTGATGGATTACTGGAAACAGAAATGTCATGTTTGTTTCTCCCTTTTTGTTTGTTTTGGCTACTTCTTGTCCTCAGTGAGACCGGTAGTCCCAAGCTAGAAATTAGGAGTGTCACAGTAAATTTTATTATGCTACTCTAAATACAAATAACAGGAGTATGTAATGTGCATGAAAGTTGTACTGTCTGTCCTGCACCAAGACAAGCCCTTAGTCCTAAGAGCCTATGGGATGGATGTTATTATTTCTGCTTCACCGATGGGAACATGGAGGGTTTTATAGGACTTGTTCATTTTTATAGTGCTACTAAAAGGCCTGTGGTGTGGTATAAGAGAGGGCAGTAACAGTGAGAACATCACACTTATCATCGTCTCTTTTCTGCTAAAATGCTGGTCCATCCAGATAAGTTATCGATCCCACCCTAACGGAGCAGGTTAGATTGTGTTTTCTTCTCTGGAGTAATTTGGAGAAAGTCTCACAAGGGAACCAAATCATTAAATATTGTTTTCATCATTATAGATCTGTTCATTTTTGTCTCCAATGAAATGTCTCATTTCCTACCCCCCTTTTAGTACCACATTTCTTCATCTTAAGAGTTTGTTACCTGAGATTTAATACATTGCTTTCCTGAGGAAAGCAATTAATCTTTTAAACTTAATTTCAAAATATTGTTTGAGAGTCTCCTATATGCACAGTGAGGAATGGCCAAAAAAAAAAAAAATCCTTCTGCATTAACCATGCATTTCCCATTTCCATGCTGTTGACTTGTAGTTTCCTACTAATGTCATTAAATTGGGAACACCAAATTAGAAATCATCGGAAGTTTCTCTTCTTGGGGGTATTGTGCTCATCTGTTTTCCAAAATCTGTTTTCATTCTCTGGATTCCCAAACCGTTTTAGAAAAATTTTCTAACCATGGTCCCTGCATTTCAAAAGACTAACTGGTATTCCATGGCATGTGAGTGAATGCCTCATCTTTTTTTTCTTTTTTAAATTGCCCTGTGACTGGACAGATTTGACATGTATTCTTAGCCCTTGGGCTCAACGTTTATAGAATTATCGGCCTGTTCCCTAACATGAGCCAAGAGTTTATGACTGTAATTCCCATCCTTCCCCTAACATATGGCAGGCTTTGGCATGATCCCAGTCCCTATAGTATTCTTCCTTTACTGCATAAACATCTCTTGGTTGGATGAAAAGTAACTTCAGTTATTCCTCAGTGGATAATGAGGTTCAACTGAAGCATCTTCCTCAAGTGAAATTGGGATGCTGGAGTTTGTTCTAATTCCTTTCCAAAGATGTGTGAGTCTCTGGTGAGAAACCACAGGTATGGACAAGCTTCTGTACAGAACCTGCTTGCATGATTGAGGGCTTTCCTCTCTCCCTTTGTAGCTATAGCCATTCAACCAGTGATAACAACTGCCCCTCAGATGGACTGCAGGATCAGACAAATGAACTATTGACAGGATAGCTGTCATAGTCCAGGGCCTTGTAGATCCCTCACTTGACATGTCCCCAGCCGAGCTATTGCAGCATCAGTCTAGGAGACATTTCTGTGTCTCCTCTCTGTTGGTGAGGAGCACTCAGATTATGTGCCTAAGCAGCAGATCAGGTAGAAAGAAGCAGGCTAAACTCGATTCTGCTTTCCACCTTTAACTCTGGAAGAACTGCAGACTTTAGCATGTTCTTGAACTATAATTCTAAATTTAAAAAGAAGAAGTAATTCCTCATTGAGAATGCTTCAGTTCTTCTATGTCCTTTCAGAGGAGAGGCTTAGCTCATCCTTTCTACCTGAGAATGTGCAATTTCATTATCCTGTTCCCCTTCACACAAGAAATTTTTTGGCAGAACATGTGGTTGGCTTCTACTGGTGATGATAATAGCAGCATTTTCTCCTGAGACTACTTGCTTCTGTCAGTATGTGTTACAGACGGCTGGAAAGCCTGACAGTTGTGGCCCAATTACAGCTTATTTACAGATTTACAGAAACTGACCTTTAGTTTTATATCAGATGACTTTCAGTATGAGAGTCTGAATCCTGGCCGTAACGGCACTTTTATATAGTACCAGCCTTTAAAGATAACGTTTACCTCAGCGTTTCCAAACCAAGAATTCTATTACAAGCATGCCATCAATTCACAGGGCCTAGTGGCGACAAGGTATATAAATACTGACTGTATTTTGAACCCCAGTTATTACATTGACTGCAGTTTAAGCTTTGGATGGGTTGGATTAGATGCCCTTTAAGATTTGTTTCAGTATTAAAAGTCTTATGCCTTGTGGTTTTTGTATTACTGCCAAAAGGAAAATGCAGCCAATTTAATATACTCTGAGGCCAGTGGAAGTAAAAGCAAGATGGAGCTATTTTAGTCTCTATGAGTCTGTTCTTGGGAATAATTACTTTGTGGAAGAAATACTGTGTGATTGATGTTTTATTTCTTAACAACCTAACCTGACTCATCTTAGTTTCACAGATAATCCTTTAAAGTTTGTTTCCTTAGTGTTAGATTCTTTTCTAAAGATAAATAAACTTTGCATTTTCTTTCTTTCTTTTTTTTTAAGGTACTGTCCAAGAAGCTGGAACATTGTTAGCCAGCAAGAATGTTCGTGTCAACTGCTTGGATGAGGTAAAATTTAAAATGTTTAATAAGATGTTTTACTTCCTATGAGAATAGATAATGTATAAAATCTAATAGTAAGAGTTGTTTTCTAGCATTTGTCCTCAAGTTATATTAAGCTCTAAAGCAAATATTAGCAAGACAGGTTGCAAAAGACAAATAGCATGTAAAAAATGTTTAATTTTACTGGTAATCAAATAAGTGACAATTAAACCAATACTATATCGTTCTTATGAAGTATGGGAAACACTGGACTTAATACATATGCTAATGGATTAGGTATAAATTGACATCACATTCTGGAAAAAATTTTTAGAATATTTCTCGTTTTTAAACATGCATACCTTCAATCCAGCAATTCTCCTTCTAGGGAAGGTTAACTGAACCTAAACTCTACATTATACAACAGTTGTATCCAAAATAACTTTCTGAGATGATGGTAATGTCTGTTCCAATCTGTCCAGAATGGCAACCATTAGCCATGTGTGGCTAGTAGCTACACTATTATGCAGGACAGTTCTAGTACTATAGACAGTTAACTGAATTTCTGTTTCTCATGCAGAAAAGCAAGTGTTTTGTTAACCCTTTACCCACACATGGATAGCAAAATTAATATCAGACAAAATAAAGCTAAAGCAAAAAACAAACAAAATGAAGACTCTTTGTTATATGTCATTAATAATCCTTCAAGAACACGACAACATTAAGCCTTTACTAATAAGCTTTGAGGTTCATAATGAAAAAGATGGAAATCAAAGGAGAAATTTGTAAGACCACAAAAACATCTTCTGGTTAAGTAGAAGTATACAAGGGTCGGAAAATTGGATAACCTAACAGTCTCTGCACTGTGTATAAGACAGAAATAGTACATCTCCATTTTACGTGGAACACTGATAAAAATTTGCCTGTGAATGATACTAGTTTGTACAGGAAAATTTTAGCTAATTTTGAACAAGGTTACCAAATGTAATATAACACTGAAAATAAAAATTTGATCCAAATAATAAAACATATAACCCAAATGCTTGTTAAAATTCTGAATAATTCTTGGTTAATGGAAGAAATAGAAGTAGAAATTACCTGCTATTTATAGCTGAAAGCACAATATTTATCAAAAGCTACTGTTGATCAAAAACTGGTGTCATGTGGCAAAAATCATATTCAGAGGAAGTTTTGTAGCATGTATTATTGTACTTTAAATCTTTGTGGTGTTCTGAGCTTTCAACTCATGAAGTTAGATGAAAAATAGTATACTCAGAAAATGTAGGAAATGAATTAAGAAAAATAGAAATAAAAAATTTTAAAAGTCACTAAACATAAGCAACAAAAGAAAAAACAAAAATGAAAACCTTTGTACTTCACACCATCCAAAAAAGTAAACCCACAGAATGGTTTTACAGATCCTATCTGGTAAGGGATTTGTAACTGAAATGTGTTAAGAACCCCTACAACTCAATAATAAAAATTACAAATCATCCTATTTAAAAATGGGCAAAGGATCTGAATAGACATTGCTCCAAGAAAACATACAAATGGCCAATATGCCCATGAAAAAAGGCTCAAAATTAGCTGCCAGGGGAATGCAAATCAAAACCACAGTGAGAGGCTACTTTATACCCACTAGGATGGTGAAAATGAAAGAGATGATAACAAATATTGGTGAGGATGTGGAGAAACTGGAACCCTCATGCTTTGCTGGTGGGAATGTAAAATGGTGCAGCTGCTCTTTAAAAATGGGTTGACAGTTCCTAAAATGATTAAACATAAGAGTTACCATATGACACAGCAATCCAGGTATATAACTAAGAAAAATAAAACATATGGCAATACAAAAATTTTGAACATGAATGTTTATAACAGCATTATTCATAACAGCCAAAGTGCCAAAGGTGGAAACAGTTCAAAACATCCATCAACTGATAAGTGGATAAACACAGTGTAGTCTATCTAAGGGAGTATTACTCAGTTATAAAAAGGAAAGACATCTTGGTGCATGCTACAACATGGTGAATGTCAGGTAAAATTCTGCCAAGTAAAATAACCCAATCAAACAATATTAAATATTATACGATTCATTTATAGGAGAATTCAGAAATGAGCAAGTCCAGGATACAGAAAGCAGATTCTTGGTTGACTAGGGCTGGATGATGGGATTGGGTGGGGCCAATGGGAATGACGTCAATGGGCATGGTGTTTCTTTTGGGTGTGACAGAAGTGTTCTCAAATTGATTGTGGTGATAGTTGAACAACTCTGAAAATACTAAAACTTATTTAACTGTAACATTAAATGGGTAAATCATATCACAATGAAACTATTAACAAAGAAAAGATAAAACAAAGTTATCAATTTAAACCCCCAGCCCCCCGACAAAAAATAGACAATTTTGAAAGTAGAAGCAAGAAAATTACATGTATGAACACCAAGGAAGAAAGTGAGAGCATAACCTGCAGTGAGAAAAAAAAAATTGTCATAAATTTTTTGTTTAAGCTAATTCATTTGAAAACCTATATGAAAGTAGTGATTTTGCAGAAACATTAAAATGAATGTATTCATCTCATATAGAATTATAAAAATGGAAAATAAGAGACTAGTGTAAATGTATTTAACTGCCAACTACCTTTTAAAGCTACAGACCTGAGTAAGTTTTACAAAATATTCAAGGACCATTTAATTCTCATTTTACACAGATTGTACCATTAATTCATAAAAATATGGGCAGATGCCCAACTCATTTGATAAAATAATCCTAATGCTGATTCCAAAATAGGAAGAAGCCCAAGCAAGCTGTGGGCTCAGTGCACTTTGTAGATAAGGATTCAGAAACACTATATAAAACACTAGCAACTTTATACAGTGGTGTATCAAAAGAATAATAAGACTTAACAAAGTAAGGTTTCTCCAAGAATGACAGGATGATTCAGTTTAGAAAATCTTATGTAAATCACTATTTTACAAAGTAAAAGAGAAATGATCTGTAGATCATCTCAATAGATATTATAATGTATTTGATAAAATTTAGCTACTGAGAGTAAAAACTCTTTAACAGATTAGGGTAGAATGGCTCTTCTGTGTCTTAATAAAAGAATGAGTTTCTGGAAACCCTCCACAAGCGCTGACATCCTATTTAATGTTTAAAACATTAGACACACTCCTATGCTATACCATCCTATATGTGTTTAAACCTGGAGAAGGAAATGGCAACCCACTCCAGTATCCTTGTCTGGAGAACTCCACAGACAGAAGAGCCTGGTGGGCTACCATCCCTGGGGGTCACAAAGAGTCGGACCCGACTGAGTGACTAACGCACACTAGGAGCATTGGGATCAAGACAAAGAGGGCCTGGAACATTCTGTGAGTGAGCTGCACGCAGATTTGGCCTCCTAGGTATTCCTTGAACACAGAACACCAAAGAGTTTTACTCTTGCAGTCTCTTTACTGGAGCATTCTTCTCTGTTTAGTTGCTAAGTTGTGTTCGGCTCTTTGCAACCCCATGGACTGTAGTGCACCAGGCTCCTCCATCCATGGGATTTCCCAGCAAGAATACTGGAGTGTGTTGCCATTTCCTTCTCCAGGGGATCTTCCTGACCCAGGGATCAAACCTGCATCTCCTGCTCTGGCAGGAGGATTCTTTACCGCTGAACCACTGGGGGAGCCCATTCTTCTTCTAGTTACTCAATGTTTACATCCTTCCTCCAGGGCTTTGATCAAAATGCCACCTTGTCAGAGGGATATTCTTTGACTGTCCTTTTAAAAATAATAACCTCCCCTAACCTTCTGGCATTCCCTCTCCTGCTTACGCAGCGTTGTCTCCCTATAGCACTTATTAGCACCATCTGCCTTGTCACCCCTACTAAAATTTAAGTGCCCAGGACTGAGACTTCAGGGGCATGACTTTGTTCATCGATACCCACAGTGCATAGGTTTGTCTGACATAGCTTAGGCACTCAGTAAGTATTTACTGAATGAATGCTTTTTTTAATGATAATAGAATTATAACTTAGTAGCCTAATATTGATGAATTCTTTAAGAGTTATGGGAGAGAAACTTTAATTATTTTTAATGTCATCATATCTAAAGTTTTAAAAACTACTCCCTTATCATTTTCCCATTACTGCTGTCAGGAAACTTTGACTGCTTCTACTAAGTTGCCTCTTGTACAACCTCCTAATAATTCTCACGTCAACATACCTCTGATAGTATGGAGGACTATGTTCATAAAAATAGTCTAGAATGATTAAAAACAATTCAATTATGTTAGTATTCTAAAATTTGCCAAAAACGCATTTATATATTTTAGACAGGTTTTCACCCCAAACAACTGAAATTCCAGCACTTAAAGAGTCTCTTTTCTGGGTTCTGAGAAAATTTACTTACAGGAAACAGCTCATTTATTCATCCACCAAATGGCTTTAGATACTTAACATATAAGGTTGTATGTTCATTGGATATGGACAAAACGTGTGGAGACTAAACACTGTGGCCTGGTGTAAATACAACAGATAATTTCTCCATATAATCATATATATGACCAAATCATATTTATGATTAAAATATAAATGTGATTTTGAGGATCATTGTTTTAATATACACTTCTTGCATCTTGTTTTTCTCATTGGCAGTAGTAATTCGTGAAAATTTCTTCAATTCAGTAGATACAGATGAATTCAATCAGTACATAATAACATTCCATGCTATGGATATACCATATTCAACTTTCCCCTTGATAAGCATTCTATTTATTTTAAGGTTTTTCCTTACTTTTTCCTTTCCTTTTGTAGTGCATTTATATCTGCTTGTTCCATTTGTTTCTCCAAGAGCTACCTGTAGGAGAGATGAGAGCTCTGATAAATTTAGTCTGAGTCTTGCCCTGGCCATTTTATTAGTTAAGTGAGGTTGAGCAATTCTTCTCTGAATCTGTTTGCTAATCTGTTGAAAAGCTGAGGTAATGAAACTATCTTTTTTCCTTAGCAGTTTATAGAAGATCCAAGTGGGAAGTGAGTATAAAAATGTAGATTATAAAGATGATTTTATTTTCATTTTATTTTGTGTTCTAACTTAATTGCATAAATTGTTCATAGGTGGGGGAAAGGTAAATAAGTAAAATTAATATTTTTTTCCCTTTCTGTTAAAGAATGGAATGACTCCTCTAATGCATGCTGCATATAAAGGAAAACTTGATATGTGCAAATTACTTTTACGGCATGGAGCTGATGTAAATTGTCATCAACATGAACATGGATACACAGCCCTCATGTTTGCTGCACTTTCTGGTGAAGTTTTAGCATTTATTCTAATACATTAATAATAGTCACCTATACACATTTGTTATATGTATATTTTTTAATTAAGTGCATTTTTGTTGTAGTAATTTTAAGATCATGTCTTATGGAAGGACATGATGCGAATTGGTTTTGAAAAGGTACAATGTATGAAATATGTTATATAGTTAATTTGGTGATGTTTCTTTAGTTATTTAAATCACCTGATTCTGTTGATGGTATGCTTTGTTTAGAGTCATGAAGCTTGATCTGTTATTCTTACAAGTTAGTTCGTTTGATGTTCTGTAGTTCTATATTTTGAAGTAATACTGAAGCTTCTTTGTTGTTCTTTTAACAAAATAGCTGCTATGATAGAGCAATTTGCTTCACTGACATTTCTGTATGAAATAGGATGATCTGTTTAGAAACTTACTCTGATTCATGTTTCTTATAATTTGTTGAATGAAGACAATTTGGGAAGTATCTAAAATTAAGTGGAATTATCTGTACTTGTAGTTTTTAAGAAACTATGTAATATAATATTATCATGCTTTGAAAGCAGTAATCTGTAGTTTTTTAATCTTGGAACTGGAAGGCATTTCTAAACATAACATAAAATACAGACTTCAAAAAGGGCAACAGTGCCTAATTTGATTACATAAAATCTTAATATTTCCATATGTAGAAAATACCCTGCATAGAGTTAAAATATAAATTAAACAATATGGAAAATAGTTATTACGTGTCTTACAGGGTGTTCACTTCAATTCAGTCATTCAGTTGTGTCCGACTCTTTGTGACCCCATGGACTGCAGCATGCCAGGCCTCCCTGTCCATCACCAACTCCCAGAGCTTACTCAAACTCATACCCATAGAGTTGATGATGCCATCCAACCATCTCATCCTCTGTCGTCCCCTTCTCCTCCTGCCCTCAATCTTTCCCAGCATCAGGGTCTTTTCCAGTGAGTCAGTTCTTCACATCAGGTGGCCAATATATTGGAGTTTCAGCTTCAACATCAGTCCTTCCAGTGAATATTCAGGACTGATTTCCTTTAGGATGGACTGGTTGGATCTCCTTGCAGTCCAAGGGACTCTCAAGAGTCTTCTCCAACACCACAGTTCAAAAGCATCAATTCTTCAGTGCTCAGCTTTCTTTATAGTCCAACTCTCACATCCATACATGAACACTGGAAAAACCATAGCCTTGACTAGACGGACCTTTGTTGGCAAAGTAATGTCTCTGCTTTTTAATATGCTGTCTAGGTTGGTCATAGCTTTTCTTCTAAGGAGCAAGCATCTTTTAATTTTATGGCTGCCGTTACCATCTGCAGTGATTTTTGGAGCCCAAAAAATAAAGTCTCTCACTATTTCTATTGTTTCTCCATCTATTTGCTGTGAACTGGGGAACAGATGCCATGATCTTCGTTTTCTGAATGTTGAGTTTTAAGTCAACTTTTTCACTCTCCTCTTTCACTTTCATCAAGAGGCTCTTTAGTTCTTCTTTGCTTTCTGCCATAAGGGTGGCGTCATCTGCTATATTGATATTTCTCCCAGCAATCTTGATTCCAGTTTGTGCTTCATCCAGCCCAACATTTCTAGTGATGTACTCTACATATAAGTTAAATAAGCAGGGTGACAATATACAGCCTTGACATACTCCTTTCCGGATTTGGAACCAGTCTGTAGTTCCATGTCCGGTTCCAACTGTTGCTTCTTGACCTGCATACAGATTTCTCAGGAGGCAGGTCAGATGGTCTGGTTTTTCCATCTCTTTAAGAATTTTCCACAGTTTGTTGTGATCCACACAGTCAAAGGCTTTGGCATAGTGAATAAAGCAATAGATGTTTTTCTGGAATTCTCTTGCTTTTTTGATGATCCAGTGGATGTTGGCAATTTGATCTCTGGTTCCTCTGCCTTTTCTAAATCCAGCTTGAACATCTTAAAGGGTGATATCATTATATATATAAGGTTCTTATAAATCAATTGGAAAACAACAAATACTACAGTAGACAATTAGACAGAAAATTGAACAGGAACAAAAGAAATACAACTGACTAAAAAACTCAAAACCGCTCTCACAAACAATCAGAGAACCTCAGATTAGGACAACAAATGATAGTTTTTCACTTACAGTATTGGCAGAGCCTAAGGAGGAGTGATGAAGCCCAGCACTGGCGTGGGAACTTTTGTGTACTCTTTTGGGGAGTGCACATGAGCCTAACGTTGCTGGGAGGCTGCCTGGTAAAATGCATTTAAAATATACATAACCTTTGATCCTACAGTGTTTTCCAGGAACTGTTCCTAAGGAAATCATAATTCAAATTTGCAAAAAGTAATGGAAAATGCTATTCACTGAATGTAGTTTATAATAGCAAATGTTCTGTAATGATTCCTATAGTCAAAGAATGCAAATAAAATAACTGAATGTTTAAACAGGACAAAGCCTGGAAAGATAGGTCCTCGGCCATCAGCAGTTATCTCAGGGCGTCTAGGAGTAAGGGAGGGAATGAGTTAGTAGACATTAGTGAGGACTTTGATTCATTTTCTTTTTTCTGTCTTTGTTTTTTTTTGTTTTGTTTTGACTTTATCCTAAGCAAGGAAAAACATACTTTGTCTTGTTTTTTAAAAAAAGTGATATTCAATTCTGTGCCATTTTTGTACTACTTCATGTTTTCTATTCTTTTCTAGACAAAAGGTTGATTTCTCTGTGGGTTCTGTCACATTTTATTTTTTACTGTAGTTATGATAAATATTTTGGGAAAAATGAAAATACCCACTAGATAGAAACCTGAAACTAAGTGGGGAAAAACAGTATGGATTATTTAAAAGGCAGTATTTGAATGAGCATTCCTTCTTTTTAACAAATATTTCTTTTCAACTCTAGGTAATAAAGACATCACGTGGGTAATGCTGGAAGCTGGTGCCGAAACAGATGTTGTCAACTCTGTCGGAAGAACAGCAGCTCAGATGGCAGCCTTTGTGGGTGAGTTTTTGGGGTGGTTTTACATTAGATTATACCCCAAATTTCCCCCGTGGAAAAAAATGTCCCTTTGCTTCTCAGAGCGTCAGTACTGCCATGCTTCCTTTTTAAAAAGCAAACGTTTACAGTTTTGTCTAACTTAATGAAACACCGAATGACATTTTGGAGAACATGAACAAGCTTTTTCAAATTTCCACTCTGAGATAGTGTGGTGAGGCCTTTTTGTTGCAGTCAAATGCTTGAATGAGAACAGTTTACTCCTCTAAGGAAGTAGTTAAACCTAATATTTAAGAATAAGAACTGTGGAGTCAACAATCTGGGTTGAAATTCTGTTTGTACACCTGATAGGAAGTTACTTAATGATTCTGATCTTCAATATAATGGTTACATGATTATTAAAAGGATTAAATGAAATGATAGACCTAAAGAGCTTTAACTGTAGCTCTCAATGAAGGCCATCAGTTATTCCTATTTATGATAATTATAACAATGATTAGGAATGAGTATTAATGATAATACAATATACAGCTGTTTCAGTATCATCCTTAACAACCGTAAACATTTATTGTGTGTGTCCAGTATTTCTTGGTATGTTAATCCTGTTACTTGATCTAGGGGGTTTAGAAGAGAGTGGGAATGAATATTTGATGCTAGGTATTTTGGCCCCACTGAGTTGGCAGTTAGCAGAGTCCACTGATAGAAAAGCAAAAATAGAAACATCTGATTTATTGGGAATACAGTAAATAGCTTTGTGAGACCTAATGATTCATGAAACAGATACTTAACATTCACAACCTATAGATCAAGCATCACTCTAGATGCTTTGGTGAATAAAACAGGATGTTTGTGTATTTATGGCACTAGGTGGCTAATAGGAATGACTGTGTGAAAATATACTCCAGTGGATGACTTAAGGGTTCCATAGAAATACATCAAAGGAAGGGATCTTCTCTCCCATTCCAAGGGAATTTCAAGAGAGAAATTACTTTTAAGCTGAGAAATAGGGGGAATTAATCAGATATAGGGGATAGTTATCAGATATATGGTATTAAAATTTATTATTATTTAAAGCTACTCAGAGTAGGTACAGTTGATTAAGTCAAACAGTCACAGAGTCACTTTTTTACAGGTCTATGAAAACAAATATTCTTGTTTTATTTTAACTCAGTTTCAGGAAGATTTGAGAAAGGTATGACCTTGCTGGGCAAATTGCAGAGAAATATTTGTCTCCCATAGTTAAGGGCTCCCTGGTTGCCACCACCTCACCTCTCAGCTAATTTTGAGGGTGTTAGTGTAGTAAGAAAAGAACATTAAACTAGGAATCATGAGACTCATATTTTAGTTTATATCTGCTCCTAATTATTTCCAAGATCATAGGCAAATCCCTTCACTGCCACATCTTCAGTTCTCTGATATGTACAATGACGCCAGGGAATTAGATGATCTGAAATTCTGTTTAACTCTGCAAGTTTTCATTATGTCCACAATGTAATGAATTAGAGCTCAGATAGAGGTTAAGTATCTTTCCCCAGACCACAGGGCTGAAAGTAGTAGAGGAGTTTGTGTTTCAACCATTAATAGAATAGTTTTCTCTCTCTTTTTTTTTTTCTTTTAATACTGCCGTGTTAATAAAAATCTAAGGTAAAATGTCTGCATTTCCATCTTAGAATGAGGGTAATATTTTCATTCCATTTTAATGTGTTTAGACTAATTTCATAGAAAATTACATTGCAACCTTTCAAGTTGACATTATATTTTCCTTATAGTTAGTATTATTAAAAACTCATTCTCCCACTTTTACATCCCTCAATCAGGTCGATACATATACATTTGTACTCATGTGCAATATTTTTTTCATCTTTTAAAAATATGGTCATACAAATATATTCTTGCAGCTTTCTTCACTTTCCAGTACACCATGGAAGTCCCTTAGGTGATGGTTTGTGTGTTTTCATGTATTTCCTTAATGTCATTGGCTTATCCTTGTTAGAGTACACTTCCTTTGTGTTTTTATTAACTTAAAAAATCAAGAATGCTCTTCTGTTCTAGTAGTACGTACTCTCCTATTCACAACGTTCCCAGTTAAACCTGTATTTCTTAGTTATTATCTAGAAACGAACAAAACTGTACCCTGTGTCCCACCCTTAAGGTGTTGTATTTGCCCGTTTAGCAACCCCAACAGGATGAAATCATTAAAACTCAATTTATTTCTCCACATTCTCTGTGTTTGCCTTCTCAGGCATCAGGGCTTTCCTTTCCTCCTCCACCACTGCCACTAGCTGTGGCCTTGGCTGAGACAGTCTAGAATTTTTAGTACCAATATATTATTAGAGTGTCATCCACGGTGTGTTCTTTCTCCTTTAGCAGTCCCCACCATCTAGTGTATAATTTCTCTGTCGTGCTGTCTCCACCCATTGGGATTAACTGTCTCTGCTACCAAGGGCGGCTGTTCTTTCTCCACACTCTCTTTTCTCCTTGCTCCGTCTTGATCATTGTTCTCATTTAGTTTTTGATGATAGGACCTTCTCAGATGGTACATAGGTTGTACATGGTTTGAAACCCATCATAACCAAAGCTATCTTTTTTCTCTGAAATGCAAGTCGTATCTTGGCTAGTTTCATGATTCTTGTATCAGTGCTCTGTTCTCTTATATGTAGACATTACTCCACAGTTTTCTAAATCCTGGTTTTGCAAGTGAGAATGTGATTTGTCTTTGTCAGCTTTTCATTTCTTATGCTAGAAGTATGTTTCAATTTCAGTTTATCCTTGAAAGTGAAAAATTGTGCTGGATGTGTCTGATTGTATTTATGTTCTCATTAATCCTGCCTCGGACTGACTCAGTGAGCCCATTTAGTCTAGAAGACTCGAGTCCAGTGACCGTAACGATGGAATTCAAAGTGGTCCCCACCCAGCTCCCACTCCCAGCATTTATTTTCTATGTTAATAGTACTGTTTTTTTTTTGCATGTATTCCCAATTCATAAATTAAAAACTAATAAAGCTAAATATTTAACAATTTCAGTTATAAAAAATTAAATATACATTAAGAACTTATAAAGATAAACTTTAAATATATATCACTCTAACAGAAATTATTAATGGATTATTTAAAATATCAGAATAACCTAAGCAATATCTAAAATGAGAAAGATAAATCTTGAAAAAAAAATAACATATTTTTTTCCTTCTCCCAAAGGTGTAATTTTAAAAAACTCCTAGTCTTGTGATAATGTCATTGTTATATAGCCATTATTTTTATGCACAGATATTTCCAACTGCTAACAAGGCTTTTTCTGAGTCTACTAATTAGGGGACTGATGAGAAGAACATAGTTACAAGCTAAGTCTATGTTTTTCTCTCTCTGATTCTTTTAACTTCAAATTTTCCTAGGTCTCTTTATATGTTGAGAAGCTTTTTCAGAGTATCTTTTTTTTTTTTTAATCGGGAACATCTGTTTTTTTATTGAAGCTGGATGTGTTTTAGAGCTTCCCTGGTGTTTTGAAAAAGCAGTGCAGTTTGTCTTCATCTTTAGTTTCTTCATATACAGTTGTAAATTCCTGCACACTGTTACCGGCGTTAATTTTGCTGTTGTCATGTTTACATGCTGTTTGCAATATATTTGCTTGATTGTCTTTTTCCTCCCTTCTTGAAAATTATGTAGGTCAAAATGATCTTTCCAAACAGAACACTTTATATTTTTATTATTTCTTGTGACTGTTTGACTTCTCAAGGTTATATATAATGGAGATTTCTGGTTTAAAAAAAGAATAAGAAAGTGATGTTTCAGTTCTTACAAATAGCATCAAACACCAAAAATGATACATGATCACTACTAAAATATGCTTTCAAATCATGATTGTGTTGTTTTATCCTTTAATTATTAATTCTCCTTCCATTTCTTTTCTTTTTTTCCCCTGAATCTCTTTTTTTTCAGCTCTCTCATCTTTCCTGTAATGATTTCTATATCCTAATTTTTATCTCTTTTGAGATATTTCATCTACTTCGTCTTCTGCATTACTATTTTAGTTCTCCATTGCAACCAGGATTACCTTTCTCAGTTTGTGTATTAACTTTTAAAACTGAAATTTCTCTGTGGTCCATGAGAGTCTCTTTCCATACAATGATCGATCTGCTTAAGTGTTTTTCGGTGGTTGTCTTTAAGGCTTGGTTGTGGAGTGGTGGCAGTAGACGTTATAGTACATGTTCCATGGAAGAGGCCCTCTGTTGGAGACATTGCATAGTCTTTCGAGATTGGATCCCCTTGGGTCTGCATCTCCTAGGCAGTCAGGTAAAGCTGACAGGGTCATGGAGCCGTGAAGGGCTGTGCCATCTCTCTATACCTATGGCCCAGGGTCAACAAGCCAGGAAATATTTCAGCCTCTGCTGAGACACAACTCTTGGGTTATCCTTGAACTCTTGGGCAAGCTGAGAACTTGACCAGCCTCAAAGATCCACCTGGCCCACAGTGCAGTCTCCCTGCAAGTCACCTCATGTCAGCAGGATTGAGCAGATGCTCCCTGGACCGTACACAAGTGGGCAGGGGCCACACGGGCCACCCAGAGCAGACCGCTGTCCCAGAGCCCCGGCATCTGGGTCTGCTCCGCAGGACTCTGTCACCGGTCCCTCAGCCCTCATCAGGCAGAAAGGAGGAAGAAGTCTGTCTTGCTGAGACTCCTGGAAAAGCCTGTAATTGCAGATGTGCCCTGCTTGTCCAGAGGAGCCACTTCCTTGCTCCAGAGAAGCCGTGGAGAGGGAGCCAGCGGGGAGGAAGCAGCAGGAACACACAGTCAGGCGGCCAGCTTCCCCAGGGAAGGTTTTGCTTTCCTAGAACAGTTTTTACCTCTGCTTATGGCTTCCAGAAGTGGCACAGGGATCTATGAGGAGCCACAGTGTGGATTCCAAGCTTATAGAAGCAAAAGCTTTTTCTCTAATTCATTTCACCAAAAGGTGAGCTTTTCTCAAATCCAAGGGGAGGAGAGATTAGCTTAACAAAATGGGTAGTAATTATAATGACAATAAGAAACTTAATACAGAATAAATTTAAATTTTGTGTAAAGAAAGCCAGATGTGATTAGGGAAGAATGAACATCATTTGTGTAGGAGTGGAAGAAGAAACATTTAAATTATGCGCAGTTTTTATTAAATATTTAGGGTCAGTTTTAAGTAGAACACTGCTTTTTTATTGTTGTTATCCACATAATCTTCTTATGCATTGTAGATTCTGTGTCTTAAAAGGGGATTATTTCTTGACTTTAAAAAGCATGCTTATAGATGTTTCCTAAAACATTTTACCTCTCCCCTTCCTCCCCTACTCTCCTAAGAGTTAAGGACGTTGATGCGTGTTTACTTCAGAAAACAAAACAACATAATTAAAAGTTGGAAAATGTCTTATTTTGAATGATAATACGTTTCCTATTTTCCTATTAAAAGGTCAACATGATTGTGTGACTATAATCAACAATTTCTTTCCTCGAGAGAAACTGGATTATTACACTAAGCCCCAGGGACTGGATAAAGAACCGAAACTGCCCCCAAAGTTGGCAGGCCCACTGCACAAAATCATCACTACAACAAATCTTCATCCTGTCAAGGTACTGTAGTTTATTGTATTTACTTTCTATTTAAATTGTGTGTGTGTGTGTGTGTGTGTGTGCATGCTTAGTCGTGTCTGACTCTTTGCGACCCCATGGACTGCAGCCCACCAGGCTCCTCTGTCCATTGGAACTTTCCAGGCAGGAATCCTGGAGTGGGTTGCCATTTCCTTCTCCAGGGGATCTTCTCAACCCAGGGATCGAACCCCAGGCTCCTGCATTGCAGGCAAATTCTTTACCATCTGAGCCACCAGGGAAGCCCAATTATATATTGCTTTAGAATTTAAACTGCTCTTAGTATATGGGGTCCTGATTGTCTTGGGTTGCTTTTTGTTGATGTCAGACTTGTGATAGGCTCTCCCGTTCAGCTGATACAGTGAAGTAGTGCTCTCGTTTGAAACCTACAAGAGAGTAAGGGACACAGGCCAGAGCCAGAGGAAGAGCAAGGCAGAGAGGTGGGTTCAGCCAAAACCTAGCTTCCGCTTCATCTCACAGTGAGCTCCGTTTATTATTAGCGGCTCCAGAGAGGCAACGAAGCCAGGCTTTCCTGTATGTCATGGCTGACGTCTGTCCCCAGGGGGCAAGGACAGCCTCCCAGACGGTGCCACGTGAGGTGGCTCCCTCTGGATGAAGGGAGTTCCCCGAGGAAGGAGGCAGCTCTGAGCCACAGCAGCCAAAAGTCGCAGTTGCGGGAACCTGGTATATGGGCCTGGTAACGAGGATCTGGGTGAGGGACCAACAGCATCCAGTACAATAATTACCTTCCAGGCAGTGTTTGGAAATGTAATCATGAACACATTTCTTTCATCCAAGTAGGTATCTGATGCATTTAAGTAGTACAGTTCTTCCAGTAAATAGTCAAATCACACAGATTTTCAAACTTTGTGAACCAGCTCGGAAGTTCACATAGCATACCTGGGAAACTTCAAGGGTTATCCTGAACTATTCCCACTGCTGTTTTCTTCATATTTTATATATGACCTTTTTGTTTATAAAATGACTATGTTTTAAAAAATTAATCCAAAAGAATATAATTTTTTCCATGAGTCATCTCAGGAAACAGCACTGACCTTTTTCAGACTTCAGTGTCTGCCATATGCCTTCATTCATAATGTATAGATTTGATAGTAATTCAGAGCTATTTGGGGCTTTCTTTGGTTTGTTTTTTAATATTTATGTATTTATTTGACTATGTTGGGTCTTAGTTGCAGCATGTGGATCTAGTTCCCTGACTAGGGATTTAACCCGAGTCCCCTGCATTGGAAGTGCAGTCTTAGTCACTGGACCACCAGGAAAGTCCTGAGAACTATTTGTTGAGCAAGATGTATGTTGGGTCAAAAACTGAAGTTTTCCCTTAGTACAAGGTGTTATTATAATGTACTGAAATGGATTTCCTTAGTATGTTACAAAAGAAAAATCTGGAATATACTGATCGTCTTAGAGTAAGTGGACAACTCTCATGAAGTAACTCTTTTGAAGTCTAACACACACTTAAAGATGTAAGTTATAAATTATATGTAATATTATTACTTTATTGCTGCATCCCTTGGCATATGGTCTTTTGAAGCTTGAGGAACAAACAAGTAAATATCTTTCATGTGGCCTTTCCCCCAAGTTTTAATAATATTCTGGACCATCAAGAGAGATGGCAAAGTAGCAGATCTTTCCCACACAACAGACAAGTGCAATCTATTTTGTTTTTATTTTTCAAAACTCAAATGTATTACTTAACATTTTGAAACAACCACTAGAGGCAACACTTGTGATCCTTGCCGGGCAAAAAAAAGAAATTCTGCCATGGAACAGGTGTTTCTGTTTCTAGTGGAAATTTTATAGGACTTAGAATTTAACTGTTAGAAAAATACTTAGCCTCTTCTGTTTCAATCTCCTTTCCTTCCCAGCACATGCAGGAAAGAGAGAACTCCTGGAAATGACAACATTGTCTCTGTAGTATTCTTTCTTGGAGTGGAGTGGAGTGGGCTGGGGTGGGAAAACAGGAGTTTCCCTAGGCATACAGCATTTCTCAATGTAGAACACGTGTGTGGTTTTATAAGGCCTTCATCACTCCCCCTCCAGTCTGAGTGTGACTCAGGGGTCCCCAACATCTGGGATCTAATGCCTGATAATCTGAGGTAGAGCTGATGTAATAATAATGGAAATAAAGTACACAATAAAGGTAATGCACTTAAATCATCCTGAAACAATCTCCCCAATCCCCCTCTCCCCCATGGAAAAATTGTCTTGCGCAAAATCGGTCCCTGGTGCCAAAAAGATTAGGGACCACTGCATTACAGGATATTTTGGGTTTGATTGATTTAAAGAAGTTTTCTATATGTTTCTGATTCACTGTGTCTTATGTCTGTTTCCACCCTTTGAGATTGCAGTAATTTCAGTTATTGTGACAGTTGGGTCTGTGGAGTAATTTTTGATGTTTACACAGAACCTAGTCTCTCAGGGTTAAATATCTCAAGAATTATTGTACCTGCAGTTATCTTTAAAGGCACATATTTTGCGTAAGTTAGATTAAGGGTATATTTATACAGACAAATTGTAAACTAAAATAGCCTACATTTTATTTTTTTAGAGCACTTGGTTTTATGAGAGACTACTCTATGATTATAGCACCTTCTTTCAGACCAGACCTTGCCTTTTGTAGATAGAGTCTATTTGCTTGAAAACCTTTTTTTATCCACACTTTAGTTAAAAGCTGCCCAGTTGCTTTGGTTATGGCCCATTTTCATTGCCTTACCCCTTTCCAAGCTGGTGTGGGTCTTCAGAGGGCATATTATAAAAAAGTAACTACTAGCCACCAGTCAAATCAAAGACCTTTAAAAATAAGCCCAGTACAACACTTGATCCAACAGTGCACCTTTTGCCGCAGTGTACCTAACACAGATACATTGGTGAGGAGGTTAAATGGCTGCTATAGCAATAAGGATGTTTGTTTTCAGCAGGGACTTAGGGAGTTGTGCTGATGCCCAGGATATAGACGTTTATAATGGAGAAAAACAGAGGCAGGAGGAAGAGTGACAATAGAGGTTAGCAGGGTCTGTAAGTGATCAGGAGATAGATGTGTGCAAGTGATCCTGTTTTTTTTATTATTAACATGATTCTTAAGCAGAATTTATTTATTCATCCTCAATTATTAATAATAATGTTTCCCTTTGTAATAAATATCCCTTTGTAATGCTTCAGAGACTAAAGGAAGGAAACTAATTCAAGTATTCTTTCTTTTGTGTACAGCTTTGATAAATGCTTCCATGAACTCATGGTTGAGCTGCGGATATATATCATTTTTTCATTGTGTTTGGGCTTCCCTGGTGGCTCAGATGGTAAAGAATATGCTGGGTTCAATCCCTGGGTCCAGGAGATCCTCTGGAGAAGGGAATTGTAATCCACTCCAGTATTTTTGCCTGGAGAATTCCATGGACAGAGGAGCCTGGCAGGCTACAGTCCATGGGGTTTACTGCTGACTATTATAAAGTAATAAAGTCTAATGTCTTAAACAAAAAAATCATTAATCTCGGTTCTATTTGGGTTTTTTTTTTTTAAAGAATTCTCACGTGCAAGTTTAGATCCTATGCTTTGATTCATAATGTATACAAAATATTGAGCAAATGGCATCAAGTGATGGCATTTGATAGGAGAAATGTGAGTAATTAATGATTCTTTTCTTCTCTGCCACAAATTAACTTTTGAATTATATAATGGTAGGGGAAGTTGTCAGCAAATTTATCAATAAGGATTCTGATTATACTTATTTCGTGAAGTCTAGTTTATTATCGAGTGCTATATTTGAAGTAAAATATTGGGCTGTGTATCAATTTAGTAGGGTCAGAAATAAGTAAAAGTCCTATTTTAATTTAACAAGAACATTTAGTTTATGTTAAATTTTCACGTAGGAGGCTTGGGCATGGATTTTTCCTTAAGTTAACAATTGTCTTACTCCTAGTCTAAAGAAAAGGATCTGATTCATGAAATCTGCCATCTGTTGTTTCCTAACGTTTCGGTTACCTGGGAAGGTATTCTACTGTGACACATAGGTTAACAAATACTGAATGACTTTCTGCTCTGAGAATATAGTTGTGCCTCTGTTTCCCACATATTTACATTACTGTTATGTCATATGGATTTGTACAGGTGTCCTATGCAATCAATAAAGAATAAAATACTCCTTCTTACACTGAATTTGGGCTTAATCTGTGTGTATTTGGGAAGTGTAGGACTGATAATGCATAATATTGGATAACTCTCTAATTATCCCCTTTTTAAAGCTATTTTTGCTTTCCTCTTTCATCTATTCATATTAATGATTAGAAGCATATTAGGAAAATTTCCACAGAGAAATATAGTTAGTAAGCAATATACCTTTTATTTTTAGACTTCTGCCTGTAAAAAACCTCATTTCCTTATAATTAACAAGAATGAATGAGAATTGTGGTTTTCCTAGCCCTGAAATCCTAACACTCAGTAATGTTAGCTAAAAGTAATGATTGCTCTGTGATTTGTTTCTATATATAAAGGGTGTGCAAATATGCATGCTTATCTTTAGTAAGAGAGCTTCCCTAGCTCAGGCGATAAGGAATCTGCCTGCAATGTGGGAGACCCAGGTTCAACCCCTTGGTCGGGAAGACCCCCTGGAGAAGGGAATGGTTACCCACGCTAGTACTTGCCTGGAGAATCCCATGGGCAGAGGAGGCTGATGGGCTCCAGTTCATGAGGTTGCAAAGAGTCGGACATGACTGAGTGACTAACACTTTTATCTTGAGTAAAAGTGCTTTTAACAGATTTAGAAACCATGATTCCAAGTGGCCAACTAATACTTAGTTTAATTGGAGGGCAAATCACACAATAACTTTGATATTCAGAGTTCAAGAGATTTCATGATGTCCTTCTGTTATTAGTTTTACAGTTTGATCAGTGGCAATTTGCATCCTTATTTGAATTAATATAGTGAATATGTGACCATGAGAAAGACTTTATTTGGTAATCAAAACTGACTGCCTGAATTGAGCATGGAAAGTCTCTCATGGAATTTCTAAGCTCACTGGGGTTTCTTCTAGATTGTGATGCTTATAAATGAGAATCCTCTTCTGGCAGAAGAAGCAGCTCTGAATAAATGCTACAAGGTGATGGATTTGATTTGTGAGAAATGTATGAAGCAAAGAGACATGAATGAAGTACTGGCTATGAAAATGCATTACATCAGCTGTATCTTTCAGAAATGTATTAACTTCTTAAAAGACAGAGAGAATAAATTGGACACTCTGATCAAAAGGTACAGTTTTTAACCATGTCATGTATAAAATACACTCGAATGGATAGTGTTTTATTATATGAAATCTCGTTATGGCTTTAAAAATTAAACATTTTAGCAGCAGCTGTTATTGTTGAGATCACATTTAATCTGTCAGAAACCAGGGGCCCTATTAAAACTAGATTGATTATTCCATTCTGTACTGTTTACAACGTTTTTGCCATCCTAAATTATGGGTGAGGAATCTGAAGTTTGGGGAGGTTAAAAAGCATTTGTAAAATCATACAGCTGGAAGGTAGCCCAAGTCCAGATTTGATGATAGGTATGCTATGCCATAACCGCTGCTCTAGGTTGATCCCGGCCCTCAGTGTATCTGTGTTCCTGTGACTGGGAAGGTGTGTGTTGGCCTTGTTCGCTGACTACCAGGGGTCAGATTCTCATGATTTTACTAAGAAAAGAGAACTAAGTCAGAAGGGTGTGACTTAGTCAGAGTTTACATTCTTTGTTCAAATAACTGCCATGGTAATAAGTAACTAGCTAATCTGATAAATGTCTAGTATGTTTTACGTCAGGGGTCACCTTTTTAAATACATCCCTGGGCACCTAAGCCTGATAAGACCTGGCCTAATGGGCAGGTGGAACAGCAATTTGAATTGAATCGATCCTCATGATGTGACTACACAGTGAAAATCTTAAGCAGCAAAGAAAAGTGAAAGTGTTGGTCACCCAGTTATGTCTGACTCTGCAACCCTATGGACTGTAGCCCGCCAGGCCCCTCTGTCCATGGAATTCTCCAGACAAGAATACTGGAGTGGGTTGCCATGCCCTCCTCCAGGGGATCTTCCCAACCCAGGGATCGAACCCCGGTCTCCTGCACTGCAGGCAGATTTGTTACCCTTTGACCTACCAGGGAGGCCCAGGGAGCAAGGAAGGAACTACTCAAACTGCATGTGTTCAGCTGGGAGGAAATGCTTGATAATTCGATTCCAGTTACTCTTTTAAAACTATCTTTCAGCTTGTTAAAAGGCCGAGCTTCTGATGGCTTTCCAGTATATCAAGAAAAGCTCATTCGAGAAAGTATCAGAAAATTTCCTTATTGTGAAGCTACTCTCCTCCAGCAGCTGGTGCGAAGCATTGCTCCTGTCGAAATCGTAAGGCTCTTCCTAACTAGGTTAACTCTGTTAGTAGGACCTAATTACCATATTTTATATAATTAGAGGCATGTTCTCCTTAGCATTATTTAGTTACCTAATAAAGGCATAATTATCTGAAGGACATGGAGATAAATTTGCCTGCTAACACTGTTTCTGTTTATGCGTTTTCCCTCTGTCAGTCCTCTTCTTTCATTTATATAGTTCATGGTTTAATACACAGTATTTCCTTAGGTCAGAATACAGATATTATAGTTATAGTGGATACTTACATTTTTAGTGAGTTGGTGAAACCTCAACAGTGGGATCACACCCAGTACGTAATACAGACCCACGTTTGTTTTCACATGTAGCTTGTGAAAAACCAGCATGAAATCCCGTGCTAGATGGAAAGTAGGAACTGAATGTCTGCCTTGATGGTTTCCTGTCGGGGGGATGTGAGAGAATGAGTTATGGGAAAACTCACTGTGTATCCTGCTAAACAGTGTTAGAGTATGTCCCGCTTCTTAGATCCTCCCTTAATGCCTCTGATTTTATAAATTTTCCACACATTAAAAAAAAGTCTCTTTATACTTGTCAGTTATGGGAAGTAAATTTGAACTTCATTATCTGCTCTTTACTTACTTTCGTCAGGTATTTATTTAAGTGGTATTAAAGACACTTCCTGCCTTCCCTATTTTGGATAGCTTTCAGATCGTCTTATCTATACCAGTTATGCTTTTATACATTTCAATGGGATCCCTTATCAGCCTTTGCGTAATCGGCAAGAAACTGATCCTGACGCTGTTACCATCCATGCTTTCCTCCCTCCCTCTGACAATGTCTGTTCTTCTCTAGCCTTCTCTAGGCTGCATTCTCAGCCTGAAAAATCAGGACAAAAAATGAGTTCCAGGTGTTCCTTTTATACATTAAGGTTTCATCCACTCAGAACCATTAAAGAAGAAAAACCTAAGCAGACAAGATGATTTCATGAAGTTCATGCATTGATTTATTCCTGAGAGTTTGCCATGATTTCACATAGAGATTCTTTCCGCTTGCTCTGTAATACGCTTGGCTATTTGGTGTTTTAAGTTTTTTGGAAGTTTAAAGTTAGCATATTATGAGGGTAGCTTATCAATTATGAAATGTGTTTTGGCTGTGCATATCATACTCCAGCCAACCATGAATAAAATAGATAAGAACTTATTTAATTCACATATACTCAGAAGCCCAAAGGTAGGCAGACCCAGTCTGGTACAGTGGGCTAGGGACCCAAATCCTTTCCCATTTTCCCACCCAGTATTCTTTAGCCATATGGATTATCATGCACATGCTAATGACCTCACAGTTGCAAGGCATCTTTCCTTCAAAATCATATCCTTCAAACTCATATTCCTGTCCTAGGCAGGCAAGAAAATGAAATTGGTCTAGAGCTGGAAAGCATAAGCTTATCAGAGAAGCAGTTAGCAGTGGCTGCCGAGTGATACCCAGCACTATTAAGTGTAGCTGACATTGTACCTTTAAGGGAGAAAACAGAAAAACTAAAAAGAGCAGGTCGGAGTACTTTTTAAAAAGTCAAAGCAGGTTGGTGTGGGACTCAACAATCCATCTTAGCCCTATATCATAGATCAGTGCAGTTGGAGAGGATAGTGTTTGATGTTTATCCTAGTGATCTGAGTCATCAGTAACCAAGATAATATTTATTTAATGCATTTTAGAAACATTGCTCTCTTTAAAGATGTCTGCTCTCTTGAAGACTTGATCTGCAATGCTTGTGGCTGTGAGTGTCCCAGATAGCCACTGTTGACTGCCTGACAGATTCCAGTATTCTGCAAGTTCAGAAGCCTCTGAAGCAGTATTAACCTTGTCCCATGACACGGTGGTTCTCACGGTCGGCTGCCATGAAGATCACCCATGGTATTTTCTGACAGTGTTAGCGCCTGAGCCCAAACCGCTGCCTGTCGTGGGACTCTGGCTTCTGCTTGTCACAGAGGTCAGCAGGAAGTGTGAGGCATAGTCCTATTTAAGAAATGCTCCCCAAACATTGTAACATGAGACTGTTGAAGATATTTTGCTTTATCATTTGAAGGTGTATATTTTAACTTCTGGAAGGCTAGCTAAGGTCTCTGATTTTATAGGATACATATTTAACAAAGTAGATGACAAGGTTTGGTATGGTAAGAAAGAATTCTTATCACTCAACTGTGACAAGATTTCACATGGTTATTCTGCTGTACCATCAATTTTTTTCTGAGGCAGTAGTTCACATTAATAGCCATATTTCTAGCAAAAAATATTTTAGTTTTACTTCTGGTATATTTGTGAGAATATCATTGTTTTGTGACTCCTACAAAAGTCCCATCTTGGGAAAGATTTTGAACATGTCTCAGTCTTGATTTCCCCCCCCCCCCTTAATTTTTATTTATTTATTTTTAATTTTTGGCTGCACTGGGTTTTCGCTGCTGCAAGGGCTTTTCTCTATTTGAGGCAATTTTTAACAAGCTCTCTGATGCACGCCCTCTTTTCAGTACAATTGCCATAGACATTCATTCTGTGCAAATATTCTGCAGATAGTCGAGGCTACTCTGGTTTCAGTGCACAGGCTTCTCATTGTGGTGTCTTCTCTTGTCATGAAACACAGGCTGTAGGCTGTGCGGGCTTCAGTAGTTGCAGCACATGTGGGCCCTGGGCTCCAGAGCACAGGCTTATTATTTGTGGTATATGGGCTTGGTTTCTCCGAGGTGTCTGGGATCTTCCCAGCCCGGGGATTGAACCCATGTCTCCTGCATTGGTAGGCAGATTTCTGTACTGCTGGGCTACCAGGGAAACCCTGTCTCAGTCATGTTTATGAAAAGAATATTTGAACATGAACATGTAATTGTAAAAACATTTAAGTACCAGTAATTCTCAAACTTTTAGTATGTTTCAGAATCATTTGTAATAATGCAGGTACATGGACCACATCCTTCGAGACTCTAATATAGAAAGTATAGATCGATCTGAATTTTGAACAAACTATCTGATACACTATCATTTCAGCACAACTGCCATAGACATTCATTCCTGATGAAATCATTAACTTGTAACTAGTATCAAGCTATTATTTCAGCTTTTTTCTCACTGTTATATTATCTTCATTCCAAAAGAGAATTCTTAACTCTTGAACTAAAAAGAAACTTAGTAATTATTTGTTTTCAGGAGGAGTAAAGTGGTTTTGAAATGAGTCCAATGTAAAACAGTGTTCCAAGGTGGTTATTTGTTATGTATAACTGGTAAAATAAATATTCTTAGAAAGGAAAAGCAAATAAAAATAAAAATATAAATTATGAAAATGTCCACATTTTTAGTTAGGAATAAAAAGCAAATTTGAAAAACTCAGAAATGAGAACTGTTGTGAGTAGGTATGATAGCTCCATACCCTGTAATTGCTCTAAGTAGATCTTAATAGTATTATCCCAGGCAGATAAATATTTAAATAGGTCTTAATAGCATTACCCCAGGCAGATAAATATTTGCCCTTATAATTTCCTCTGTTAATAAATTTCATAAATCCTCTTTAGCAAGCCATTCTGATTTTCAATAACTGTATAATTTTCATATTTTTGGTTTTTCTTAATAACCTATGCAACCACATGTATAGCTCTTTAATCTTAAGAGTTTGGAGCATTTCAGTGATAAAGGTGATAGTTTTATCTATTAGAATTGCGGATCTACATCAAGTAAATAGTTTTAAATAGACAAGTTCTTTAAAACACTTAAATTGCATTAAACTTTTAAGAATTATGATAAACATTTGTGATGTATCCTATAAATTGTCCCTCAGAATATGTATTATATATTGTCTTCATTCTCAGAAGGAAATTCCACTCTGAGTTCACTGTCCTATATCTGAAATCTTTGTATGCTTACTGAATAATCCCAGTTGAAAAATACGTTTATTCTAGAATCGAGCCAAATTTTTTCTTTCTGAACATCTGGATCCACGACTTACCTGCCACGTACTTGGTGCAGAAAAAGGTGTGCTCAGAAAGGTGTCTGTGCAGGCTCTCTCTCCCCTGAATCGTTTTGTCTCTTTTTCTGGAAGTGTCTTCGCTGCAGTCTGTCCATGGTGATTTCAGAGTTTTGTGTTTTTTCCCTCTTCTTGCTTCCTCCAGGGTTCTGATCCCACTGCATTTTCTGTGCTCACCCAGGCCATCACTGGTCAAGTGGGTTTTGTGGATGTTGAATTTTGCACCACCTGTGGAGAAAAAGGAGCAAGTAAGAGATGCTCAATGTGCAGAATGGTAAGACTGAAGTGAAGTTCATTGACATCTGGTTTAGATTTCATCGAAGTTGATAACTGAGTTTTAATATTCTATAAATGTAATAGTTGGCATTTTTTTCTAATAAATTCTAATATAGTAGATATGAAGTATTGAATCTAATATTTTAAAATAATTTTGAAAAAGAACTGTAGGATACATGTAGTTCTGTTCCGTCTTCTGTCCAGCTCACATGTTGGCCAGCTTCCATGCTGACCACACCCAAAAAAGAGAGTATGAATGAATGAATGGTCGTGAGAAAACTTATTCACAGGGGACTGAGACTGGTGCATATATGAGAACCTACAACGATTCATAAATATGCAGTCTTAAATCTTCCAGTGTTGACTTCAACTACTCTCTCTCCATCAGCTCTTCCTTGTAAAGTTCTCACTCCCTTCTGACTGTCACTAATCTTGAAGCTTTCTGGACTGCTACCCACTTCTGCTAGAATTATCTTTATAAAGAGCATATCTGAATGGATTCTTCTCATATACAAATACTACCCACATGCATGCATCTGTACGTTCACTTTACCCTATAGATCATGTTAATTTCCTATTGTTTTTAAGGTTGAAATTCTTCAGCACGTTCTTCTGCAACCCATCATGTTCTGCTAGAAACTTCTCCAGTTTCATTACCTTTAATTACCTGTCTGAGCCTCAGTTTCCTTTTGTGTGAAATGGGGCTAGAGTTGTGAGAACTAAATGAGACCATCTATATTGATTAACTATGGCCACATATAAAAACACTCCAAAATTCATTACTTAAAATGAGTCTTTTTTTTTTAAGTTTTTCTCATGTTTGTGGTTGGCTGGGGCACATCTGTTCCATGTGTTTCTCATCCTCCTTGGGCCAGCAGGCCGGGGTGAACATGTCCCCATGGTGATGGTAGGGCTGTAGATGATGTAGGTGATGTAGTAGGCAAGTAGAAACATACAAGGTCTTTTGAGGTCCAGCCTTGAAATTGCCATGCTGTCTCATTGTTCTGGCCAAAACAAGTTGCCTGGCTTTATTTAAAGTTAATTCTCCTCCCCTTCAGAGAAAAGAACTTTGAAGTCACATGGGAAAATGTATGGGTGCAGGGAAGAGTGAAGAATTGGGGCCAGTAATACAGTCTATAATACCTTCTATGTATAACAGCCTAGCCCAGTACTTGACATATAATTTTACAAAAGTCTCAGCTCTATTTACACAAATATGTTGCTCTCCTAAACACAGCATTCACTTTCCTATTCCTGCATTTTTGTACAAGATATTCTGTCCACTTGGAATGCTTCTTCCCTGTTTCTCTGTCTACTGACTCCCTCTATTTAGAGTGAGTCATTGCTTCCTCTGTGTTCCCATCGCTGTTACGTCCTGTTCTAGGATATAAATCATGTTGCTAATTATTAGCCTCCATCCATGCTACCCCATCCTGCTCTAGCTTCTTCTGGGACAACAATTGTTATTTTCTTTGTCCTTGTACCGTATCAATTCTGGCACACAGAAGTCTCTCAAATAAATCATATGTTAGAGTCTTTGGTAGACCATGTGTTATATATTCATTGTTATTAAAAAGTATAAGCTAAAAATTGCAAAGGTAAACAATACACATTCATACATCATGGTTTTAAAATAAGGCACATTGGGAGTTAGTCACTTAGTCATGTCCGATGCTTTGTGACCCCACGGACTGTAGCCCGCCAGGCTCCTCTGTCCATGGCATTCTGCAGGCAAGAATACTGGAGTGGGCTGCCATTTCCTTTTCTATGGGATCTTCCCAACCCGGGTATCAGTCCCAGGTTTCCTACATTGCAGGCAGATTCTTTGCCATCTGAGCCACCAAGGACGCCTAGAAAAGTTAATATTTTTACAGCACAGTACTTGATTTAATGTTGTAGTTGAGAAGTCATGTGACTACACCTCTTGAAAATAAACCTACAATTGCCTTCAGGTAATATACTGTGATCAGACCTGCCAGAAAACACACTGGTTTGCACATAAGAAAATATGTAAGAATCTCAAGGACATTTATGAGAAGCAACAGTTGGAGGCTGCCAAGGCAAAGAGTGAAGAGGAGAACAGTAAGTGTATAAAAACCGAGACCATAATACTTGTCAGTAGGAAGAGGAAGCATCAATTATATTAACACAGGACACACACACAGGAACTGCGTCTTCTCAGGGAACCAAGGAAGACTGGTGTTAACAAACATCAGGATTACACTTAAATATATCCTTCTTTTGAGTCTCTGGGATAATGTACAGACTATAGTCAGCCTAGATAGCACTAGAAAATGAAAAATGTAAAATTCTGAGGAATGGTATTTATTCCCCTTTCTGCTTTGTGATTCATGAGACTGCTCTGGAGCCATGTGACTCTTAATGAGTAGTTTACTTATATTTTGCCCCCAAAGGATTTTAAGGTCTTTGAATAAGGAAATAATTAAATTTCCCCTAATGGCTACCTGAAGATTTTTAAGATTGGAAGCCTTTAAATTTCTTAATTATGAAACTGCAGGTAAAATTATGGAGTAAATTTATAAATTACAAGTTAACTTGCACAGCTTAACTTTCTACAGGTGTGAGGGTAGTGAGTTCCATATTATTTTTCCTCTCCTTTCCTCATAAAGCGTATGACTCATTTTCATCAGAAACAGTGAATTGCTTCGGCAATGATTCACATATTGGAGAAGAGAACCGCCCACGCTCTTACGTCCCACCCCAGAGGATATAGGATATGTATCACACATTCTGGGAAGTGATAGGTTGCCAAAAGGTTACCTGGGTGATTCTGATACTAAGCATGCTCATCTCTATTCCTCAAAGGACCATGTCCCTTTGACACCTGGTGGAGAAACATATTAATGGAAATGGATGATTTGTAGAAAACTGCATTCATACCAAATAAACTGGTATAAATAGATTATTAATAGGATAGTCAGGCTTTCTGACTATCTTGCTTTCGAGAACTGTTTGCTGGACCAGACCTTTATATCCTGTGTGTTGAAAGCGGTGTATAATGGCTGGTTACATACTCAAGAAGCAGTATGGGAGGGTTGTCAGTGGATGAGAACTTCTGGTGGTTAGACATCAGTTCATCCCACACACTATTGTGCTCCTTTATTCTCCACAAATGTGCGATAGGCTTTATTATCCCCCACTTTATAAGGAGACAGCCTTGGATAGGCATTTTACCTAACCAAGCATGTCAAGCTAATTCATGGCAAAGCTGTATTCGAATGTGGATTTTGCTTGTCTGCAATCCTGATTTCAAGGCCTAGGTTCAAATACCAGTTCTCTTATTTTCATTAGCTGTGCAACTATGAGCAAGTTAACAAACCCCCTCTCTTCTGTTTCCCCATTTGTAAAAGAATAATGCTAATAGAAAACTCCCCCTTGTGGTTGTTATGAGGATTAAATGGTTTAATACACAAAAAGCACTTAGAAGAGTGTTTGGCACATGGTAGAAGCCAGATGACTTTTTTTTTTCTTCTACTTTTTAGCAGATAGCAAACTTGATGTCAATTCTAATTGTGTTGGTGAAGAGCAGCTGGAGGAGGCTGAAACGACAATCTGCCAAGAGGTTGACAATCCTAAGAATTCTGAGGAAGGCGAGAAAGAATCCCTGCAGAGTGATGCTGGGCTGGAAGGCTTACCCGAGGCTGCTGTAGGTCCGCAGGTGTCTGAGGAGTAAGGGCCAGAGCACGTGTCTGAGCAAGCGCGGACAGTCCTTACCTGGCAGGTGGCTGGGAACTCACATGATTGCGTCCTCCTTGGCTCCACACCTGCCTGGCACTGTGGCGGGATTCCACATTTCACAGAATACGTGCTTTCCAACAAGACCCTGTCCACCACGCCCTGACTTCGTACTGATTCTGTTCTATAATAGGACAGATATTCCTAGAGAGAAAAACTTTTTTTTTTTCAAAATGCAGGAGAAACATTTCTATTCCCTTTCTGAGGCAGGCTTCCCAGCAGTTGTTCTCAAAGGAAAATAAATTTCCTTTTAAAAAAGAAATATATGTTCTTGGGAACAAAGAGGCAAGCAGAAAAGTTATAGGAGAGGAGATTTTCAGGAAAAGAAAGATTGTATAGCCATAGAGATGGGTAGTTAAAAGAATCATAACTTATATGTAAATAAAATGCTTTGTATAAATAGCATTTATGGTAAAGTGCTACTTATTAAGATGCAGTGAAATGAAGACAAGCCACATGTGAAAGGAGCTCTGACATAGTTCAGCTAATGGTAGTTTTCTGTAGAATTTATCCTGAGCAGACTGAACTCTATGTAGTTCCTGCAGTGACATTTTATCTACAGTATTTGTACCTTCAGAAATGTCAAATCCCCCAGGAGGAACTAAGGTATAGCCACAGTTATCTCAGCATGTGCATTAAAAAATGTTTGATGAAACTGTTGGTTAAACAAAGGCTGAACATACTGTGTCCACAGTTACTATAAAGCTGATTCATGTGCCATTTTCCACTTGAAAGGCTGTGACCTTCCTGTAAGCTTTTCATGAGGTTCTTCTTGTCCACAAACTGATTTATAACTGTCATTTGTAGGCTGTGCTGGCATCAGTTTTTAGTGTCTGCGTATTTAAATTGAGCTAGAGTGAGATTTGAAGATAGTGCTGTGTTTCAAAGTTCCCGTGTGTTGATTGTAAAATAAATTGTGCCTACTAATAGAGCCAATTCAAATCTTTTTTCATAGTTTATTGCTGTCAGGGTGTGGCAAATGGTAAAGAAATATTAGAGAACTTAAAACATTTTAGGAAACAACAAATACTGGAGAATGCAGTAATAATTATTTTAATATTTACAATTCAGAATGACAAGAACTCTCACCTCACTTCACTGATCAGATTCTTCTGTCTTGCTGCTTTTTCTCTTCCTTTCACTCGGTTACTGTTCTCCCAGCCCCAACACGTACATCTTCTGTACACCCTGTAGCGTGCTGCTGTAGGAAGACTTCTTGTGAGTAAATCACTGTTTAGGGTTAAGTGCGTAGGAATTCAACAGGCAGATTTTTCCTGCACTTGTGAATCATGACAAGCCCCCCTTCTCCATTGAAATCCCTCAATCTACACACACTGATAAACATTTATCTTTGACTAGAAAAATGGCCCTCCCCGGCCTTCCTCTTCCACAAGTAAATTTTTAACCCGAGTTCACTTATTTTAATTACTTTTTGGGTATGTGGTATCATCATGGTCCCTATTTTTGGATAGCATGAAAGGTTATGAAAAAGCCGAAGGGAGTAGGAGAATCGAGATGTGGCAACATAGAGGTACTTTTCTCTTTATTGAAATGAATGCTAATGTGAGTCAGAACTCCAACACAACTACAGCAGGCATTAGCAGTAACTTTACAGTTGGACAAAGAGGACTTCAGATGGAAGCCATGTCAGTATCAAAGATTCTATAGACATATTTCAGGGAAGGGTTGGTCAGAAAATGGAGTTTTAGAAAAATGAGGTTGGCTCTGATGGTATTCTTTGTCATCAATAACCAAAAATAGATGATTCCATTATAACACCATCAAAACAGGTGGTCATCCAGCTACCTTTTCCTTTTTTTTTTTTAACGTATTGAATTATTTTCAATATGCCATCAAGAAACTTTTCTCAAAAACAAGACCTAAAGGATTAGAATAGTCTTACTATTGTAATATGTCTTGTGCTCAGAGCTGATAGAATAGAATATTAAATTAGCCAATGGGTTTATTCAGAAATTGGATTGTGCTTTTTGACCCAGTGGTGGTTTAGTTGCTAAATTGTTTCTGACTCTTGCAACCCAGTGGACTGTAGCTTGCCAGGCTTCTCTGTCCTTGGGATTTCCCAGGCAAGAATACTGGAGTGAGTTGCCATTTCCTTCTCCTGGGGATCTCCCCAACCCAGGGATCAAACCGGGGTCTCCTGCATTGCAGGCAGATTCTTTACCAACTAGGTAATAATAATAGCTAACACTGAAAGCTACTGTATCTCTGAAGTTATTTTAATATTCACAACAACCCCATGAATGAGGCTTCATTTTTATCCCCTCACAGCACAGATAAGTAAGTTAAAGTCTAAAACGGCCCACTCAGTCATCCAAAAGTACAGAGTTGGAACTCAACAGGGTCTGCAGTTTAACTACAACATTGTACATTCTTCATATGTTACCATTGCTGTCGTTTCTCTGCAGACATGAGATAATAATAGAGCTGTGTAGACAAGCCATTATTTTATAGGATGTGGCGGGTAACCCCTCGGCCCTTAAAAAGATGACTGATTTTATTTACCCATCATGTTTGTGAGTTTACTTGAGTTTTAATGTTATTGGATATTAAACTTAACAGAAATACTTGAGTAGTTCTGCAGTGTTTTTATCTTCTCAGGGCCATCTTCCCTGCTTCTGAAGCAAATCAGTTCCCTTCTTGAGTGGGAGATAGATGTCTTCCTAATCTCCCAGTTTTATAACAATCAGTAGTGACCTGTTTCGTTGGCCACAACAAGACCCATCAGAGTACCTCTCAGAGATTTTACATTCCTGAAGCCAAAGAAGAAGGGTTTTTGTTTGTTTCTCCCTTGGGATGATCATAAATTATAGGGATTCAGTTCAGAAGCTGACATGTGGAGGTACTTAGGAGAATGCAGCCACTGAGTACATACAGACAAGAGAGGGATACAAGGAGGGAAGGGTGTCGAATTCACTGGGTTTTGACATAGTCCATATTGGGTTTGCTTCATGTGGTTACATGAGCAAATTTCTCATTTGGCTTTCTATAAATCAGAAGCAAAGAACTAAGACTTTATTTTGGGGGGCTCCAACATCACTGCAGATGGTGTTTGCAGCCATGAAATTAAAAGACACTTACTCCTTGGAAGGAAAGTTATGACCAACCTAGAGAGCATATTAAAAAGCAGAGACATTACTTTGCTAGCAAAGGTCCATCTAGTCAAGGCTGTGGTTTTTCCAGTGGTCATGTATGGATGTGAGAGTTGGACTGTGAAGAAAGCTGAGTGCTGAAGAATTGATGCTTTTGAACTGTGGTGTTGAAGAAGACTCTTGAGAGTCCCTTGGACTGCAAGGAGATCCAACCAGTCCATCCTAAAGGAGATCAGTCCTGGGTGTTCATTGGAAGGACTGATGTTGAAGCTGAAACTCCAGTACTTTGGCCACGTCATGTGAATAGTTGGCTCATTGGAAAAGACCCTGATGCTGGGAGGGATTGGGGGCAGGAGGAGAAGGGGACGACAGAGGATGAGATGGCTGGATGGCATCACCGACTCGATGGACATGAGTTTGAGTGAACTCCAGGAGTTGGTGATGGACGGGGAGGCCTGGCGTTCTGCGATTCATGGGGTCGCAAAGAGTCGGACACGACTGAGGGACTGAACTGAACTGAAGACCTCCTTGAAAAATTTAATGGAATCAAATTTCAAAAGTTAAATGTATATAAATATAACTAAAAGGAAAACGAAGGCACATAAAAGTTTTGAGATCATATGCTCTTAGAAAAAGTACAAAGGCAGGTCAAGTTTTGGATTACAGTTACCATTTTGATTGGAAAAGCTATCACTACAAGGTGTTTTTGCATCCCTTAATGTTTATTTTGGAAAAACATATCTGTTTGCAGTTGTATAGAAATTAATATTGTTTATGTAAGCTGTGATAATATTAAAGCATCATTTGCATGGACAAAAAGCAAGATCTTAATTTAGTAAAAACAACTTTCTTCTTCCTGCTAATAATGATTGAATGCTTTAGCAGATAAATAGATTTTCCCCAAAAAGGTGGCTCTAGTTTCTATGTCCTTTAAAGACAAAATTCTAGTTTTATAAATCAATAAAGGCATCTTTTTAAATGGTGATCTTAATTTGTCTGCGATGAACCAGGTAGCTATGTAATTGATCAGTTCAGGGCAGTGTAGCTAGCAAATTCATACACTTACATAAAACTACTTAATCTCAGGGATGATGCCAAATAACTAATTTTAAATGTGAAAAAATTGTCAATTCCAGAAGAAACCATGAATGAATTCTTAGTGACTTTGGCATGAAGAAGGCCTTCTTAAATGTGACACTAAACTCAAAAGCCACAAATAAAACTAGTTCAGCTACATTAAAAAAAAATCTGAACACTTCTGGGAAGATAGTGTATATATAATTTTCCTTATTCCGTCTCCTAAGTAAGACTGAAAACCCTGGACATTACATATAAAACAAACAGAAGAAGGCAGACTGGCTAGGCCCCTCAGGCAATGATACTTGGTTTTTTTTGTCTGTTTTCTTTCTGCCTCATATATCACAAATTTGAGGCGGGAGAAGCCAGTAACATGGAAACAACAACCAGAGGCAAAAATAAGCTCCAACAAACAAATATCTGCTCTGTGGATTTGGGACCCAAAACTGAAACATCAAATCATACCTGAATTTCAAGTCTGCACCAGCCTACCCTGCAAATTTTGGACTTGCCAGCCCCACCCCCAATGGCATGAAGCAATTCCTTAAGATAAATTGCTCTCTGTAAATATGCATGTACCCAATTGATTCTGTATCTCTGAAGAACCCTAATAGACTGCATGTCCTAGTTTGAGCTGCTAAAACAAATTACCATAGGTTAGGGTGGTTTAAACAGCAAACTGATTTCTCACAGTTCTGGAGGCTGGAAGTTCAAGATCTGGGTGTATAAGCATGGTCAAGTTCTTGGTGAG